ATTAGATATCCAGATGTAGCCCATAAAATTGGCTACAGTCAGCAACTTCTTGAAATAAATTAAAAAAATTATTAAATGAAATATTAAAGCTCGTATTCAAGATGGACTCTGCAATATCTAAGCAATAATTTACCCCAAAAAAAACCAATACAGGAAGAAAAGAGTTGTTCATCCATAAAAGAAACATTCACAATGCTCAATCAATTGACAGTATAACCATATGCAAGTTCAAGTTATATATTTTCCTCCGAAAAAAAAAATTAAAAAACAAAACTCAACTTAGAATTGTAATGCAATCTTGCACTGAAATATAATCTTGATCCACATATTGAGTGTTGAAAACTTGATAGTAGTTAGCTCCCCTTCCCAAAGTCCTAAAGTACAGCGAGTTATACAAGACGCAAGCTTTGGCCTTTCTATTAAAAAAATTATTTTGATAATTGAAGAAATTTTCCTCCTCATCTCAGACATCAGATTTATACTCTATTCCAGAAAAATCAGTAGCAAAAATGTAAACAATTTTTTCGAAGTTTCAATATTTTAAATTGGCTAAATACCCATATTGGTATTTTAATTCCACCGCATTTAGCAAGAAGGTATTCTAATTAGGCAAACCTACTTTAAGGCATTTTAATTAATTCAACTTACCAACAAGACCATTTTTCTCGTCGGCGACAGTTTTCCGGCGATAGCTCGTCACGTGCGTGGCACGTGATGACTTGAACTGTTTTTTAGCTGCTGATGTGATACGGATTTTCTGACGTGTCAGTGTTTAAAGACGGGAATTAACCCTCTAAAAATCCTAATTCACCCAAAATAGGACAGATTCTCTCCTTTTATTTTCAGAATTTGAACGCGAGAGAGGGGGAGAAATAGAGAGTGAGAAATCATGGAGGAGGCAATTGAAGGAGATAGATTGCAAGGATTCCATGTGATGGTGTTCCTCAGTTGATGCAGAAGGTGATTTTCGGAGGACGACGACTTGATACAGGTTGAAGCCGATGCGAAGGTTTGAATCAATTAAAATCCCCTCTTTTCGGAGGACGACGACGATTTTCGAAGATAGAGAGTGATAACCCTAGTTTCCAATCTCATCTAATCTCACCTTGAATCCCTTCTTTTATTCTCCCAACTGTTTTATCCACGTCAGAAAATCCGTGTCACATCAGCAGCTAAAAAACAGTTTAAGTCATCATGTGCCACGCACGTGACGAGCTATCGCCGAAAAACTGATCACCGACGAGAAAAATGACCTTGTTGGTAAGTTGAATCAATTAAAATGCCTTAAAGCAAGTTTGCTTAATTAAAATATATTTTTGGTAAATGAGGTAGAATTAAAATACCAATATGGGTATTTAGCCATTTTAAATTAAAGCAAAAGATTCTCAATAGTTTGACACAATACCACAGGAAAACACACTACCATACCATAAATTCTCAATCTAGGGTTTCCCTCTTCATGCCAAATTTACCAATTTAGAAACCAATACATTTTCAACTAGTGTGAACACCATGCAAAGCACGGCATACTTTTTATTTAGTTGCAGTAATCCTGGTTAACTGCTATTTTTTTTTTTTTTGATTTTTTTTTTGAACGACTACAGTTCCGGCCTCTGCTACAGTATTCATGTGTGCTGCAGTAATATCTTTTCGAAAAATCAGACAGTAATAACGCTATAGTAAATGCTACTGTGTTATAGCATGAATAGTGAACCTTAGATTCTCCCATTTGTATAGACTAGTAGATTTACAGATGTTCCCCTTTCTAAAATAAAAAAAACTAAGATCATTGAAATGAAGAAAAACCCAAACCTCTTCGATTGAATTGAGACAGGGGGAGCTCGGAAGAGAGAGAAAGAGAGTGGGGGTAAGGGTCTCTTGGTTGCCGCGAGAGATCCAATAACACAAGAACACCTGCAGATTTAGAGATAAACGATGAGAGAGAAAAGAGAGAGAGAGAGAGAGAGAGAGAGAGAGAGAGGACTGTTCTGAGTTACCGGAGGAGAGAGAACGAATTTGTGAGAGCCGCGGCCATGGCTTTCGCTGTGTCTCTCTCTGGGAGAGTGAGAGAGGAGAGAGGACTCGAAGAGGCAAAGCAGGGAGGAAACCGGGTCGGATCTCATAAAATTATCCATTTTGCCTGTTTGTATTTTCTCTTGCTTTTCTTATTTTTTATTTGAAATATTTACTCAAGATCGTTTACCTATCTTTTCATGATGAACAGTTTCTTAATTACAGTATACACTGATACTATTATGGGGTGTTTGTTTCAAATCCTATAATTTTAGGATAGAGATTTCAACATGGAAATCCATTGGTGTTTTGTTATGGGTTGGGATTCCTAAAACTATGTTTGTTTCATCAATATTTTAGGATTTGAAATGCTATAATTTGTAAATTCTTGTTTGTTTCAAACTCAAATTGTAGCATTACAAATTTTAGAATTTGAAATCCATAGTTGTAACAAACAAGTTTTAGGATTGCCAAAATAATAAATGATGAATATAAGAACTTTAAGAACTGTGGTGAGCTTATCTCCCACAAAAAAACAAATACAATTGTATAACATACAAGGTGCAGATTCAGTTTGTTTCAGGCCCCTTTAACAAAAATTAAACAAAATCTGTACAGACACAAGCAAGTTGGACCTAAGAACACAAGCAAGCAGCCGTAAACAAGAAAGATTGACCCAATAAAACAAGCAACAACACCCTCATGGAAGCTCAGGCCAGCTGCAAAAATTGAAACAAAACCTTCCTGCTGCTTAATAGCATCTCATCCTCTTTAACCAAGGCCGCAAGCAAGCAGCCGCAAACAAGAAGCCGAAAATAAACTGAATCTGAAACAAACATATACTCAGTAACAAGCTCACAAGCAACCATTGAAACAAACTGAATCTGAAACAACCAAGCTAATAGAGATACAAGTGTTAACTACAGCTAGACATGTATTCTAGGAATTCCACTCATCATAAAGAAGTAATAGGAGCCAAATATCAGTTAGAAACATCAACAAGTTGTCCTTCAAAATACACTGGGAGTGACTGAAGCAAAGAAAAGTTGACACATATACCACAGGTGAATACACGCCGATAGCAATGTACTCAAAGACATGGTTGGCAAAAGTAGTGAAATATGCACTTGCCATGGTTAGTAACAAATATGCTCACAAGCCATCAAACATGCTCAAAGCTCAATCTGAAACAAAAATGCTCAGTAACAAGCCCACAAGCAACCATTGAAACAAACTGAATCTGAAACAACCAAGCTCACAAGCCATCAAAAACATGCTCAGAAACAAGCTATAACTCAAACAACAAAGGCTCAGACAAGCAACCATTAGAAAACTCATAATAGGACTAAGGTAGGGGCTCAGATATAGGTATTAAAATTGAATACATGGATTGCCTCATCCAACAATGATGTTGCAATGGAGGTGTAGACATCAAAAAATGCTTACAGACACTCAAACACCACTCAAGACGATATAGAAGAACAATATACACCCACGTCATCAAGCAACATATGGCGGCGCGGCAGGACATGGTGTCCGCGGCTAAGGCGCGGTACGACAAGGTGGCGCGCTAAGGCGGCGGCAGCCTATGGTGTCGCGGCTTAACCCGCTGCAACCTATGGTGCCGGCGCAGTTATAAGCAGCGATGCTCCAGCAGTTATATACAGTTATCTGATGATTATTTAAAGTCCACGTGGCGGCGTTCAGAAATAGAACGTGTGTGACGTGGAAAGCAGTTAAACGACGAAAAGGTGGTTAAAGGTCGTGGGAAGAACTGTTTCAAATCAGCGTATGAACGTGGGTGTAACTGCCCCTTTACGCCGCGGCAGGTGTCGCTGCCGCGCCTTAGCGCGGCAGTGTCGACTGGCCGCGCTCTTTGGCCGGCACGTGTCGACTGTCGCCCGCCTTAGCGCGGTAGCATCAGCTGCCGCGCCTAAAGAGACAGTTATTGACGCTATTTTCTTCAGTTATCGTCTAAAGGAGGCTATAAATACCCCTCTATGGCCATCATTGACGGGGCTGAGCATTTTCCCAGAGAGATTAGAGCAGAGACGCCTTGAGTTTTGGTGATTTAGAGTCAAGAGAGAGAGTCTTCCTTCTTCACAAACATCCTCAAGAAGCTTCTAGCGAGTCCTAGAGATACAGCTCAGACTTGATTTTTGAAGAGTGAAATCTTACATCGATAAGATATTCGCTTCAAATTCTTACTTCGATAAACGAAGGCAAGAATCATTAAACCCTCACGGTTCAATCAGAATCTGTGATTTGGTGGTCCAGAGTCAAAGCGCTCCCGCACAGGCGAAAGATCCCACGCAAGAGGCGATCCAAACAACGGTCCTGCGTTTGTTTCTCCAGAGTTGTAATTTTCCTTTTGTTGTGTAAAAGAAGTCTATAAAAAAGACTATTTCTTTTGAATTTATTGTAATCGACCGAAGATATAATGAATTTCCATGACAAAACCAACTTTTGACGCAAACAAGCTGGCGACCACAGTGGGAGCCAACGGTCTCGCTGCCGGAGACCGTCGTGTCGCAGGCCGATCACAGATTCCAGTTGAATCTCGCATGGTCGAATACGAATTCGACAGATCAAGTTTGAGGAATATCTCTCATCATCCTTTCAAGATCTTCATTTATCTCGCAAGTACAGAGGACTCACAATTGAGAAGAGTTGCATGCCAAAGAAGGCACAAAATGAAGACTCTGCGCTTAGATTGTTGCTGAGATTTCACTCGCAATACCTCTGCTCACAATGGCAATGGCTCTTATCTGTTTAAAGAGTCATCGAATCAAAGCCGCCGGCATTAACGAAAAGAGCTGCCGTAGAGACAACGTCAAGCCGTGCTCGCCAAATGGCTAAAGCCTTGGAACAAACCGACGGGGCTTCGTTACCACGCGGACCTAGAGTCGAGAGACATCTGAGTGGTTCAGTTGTTTCTCAACAACCAATCACTCGTATCTCTGCTAAACAACGACGGATGAATGGACTATTGTCAAAAAGACTCGTTCGACCCTCAAAGAACGTATAACAATACGTCGTGCAAAAGCTGCTAATGCCATGCTCTCACAACAAAGACGAGAAAAGAGAAAGGAAATGGTGACCAAAGAATCACAAAACTTCGTCAGTTTGATTCCAAGTCTGGACTTATGCAAATAGCGATTCGGAGCCGTTAAGACCCCATAGCCGCAAATGGGTGGTTTCAGACGTGCGCTCCCAACATAACCCTTGGATCGCTCAAAAACAAAAATAAATTGTCTGAGAATGCAACAAGGTTTTATACCCCCGAAGAAGGACGCATTCACCAAATGATATCGTCATACCTGGAGATCATACCAACAGACGATACGATTTTTTGCAATCATA